GCTCGCATCCCTTTTGACTTCTCCTCAGCGTCCTCGCTCGTGGGAACGGGGGCATCCACTCAGTGACCGCCATTCCACGATTTGGAAGTACAAGCATGACGTCGCACGAGCTAGGCAGGCAAGCATGTAGAGCACTCTACAGAGCAGTGCTTCGACAGTGTCCACCTGCAGTCACCTACTCTTCCCACGCTACAAAGAACCTTCGACGCTTATACAAGTGGCACTTTGAGCAGATCATGGCGCGAGGCAAGCTCGTCGATGCGGATCTCAAGGCAGGTGAGCGATGCTGGCTGCGTCCTAGTGTAGACGCACGCCTCTCATGTCCCGAGCAGTCGTGACTGACTTCGTCCTCATCGGTGCCCCGGCTATCGCACCCCAGCTGAACGGACGATGCTGATGCTGTTGAGCTCTACAGCACCGGGGCAAGCGCCTTCTTCGCCATTGGATAGCATCGATGATGCTTCGAGCAGCGCGACTCCACACGCTTCCACATCGAGCTCTGCAAAGCTGCGGACTGACGTCGCTCATGGTGCTGCCCAAGAGGCAGACGTAGCAGGCGCTTCGGAACGCAAAGGCAGACTACTCTCCCACCGTCTCACCTGCTCCCTGGCTTCTTTGACCTACCACCACCTATCGCCGTACGTCGTGATGCAGCGCGGGCCTAGGCGCAGGCTTGAAGGCGGCTCGCAGTCCTCCAGCGCTCGAAGATTGAGAGCGAAGGACGATGCGGGAGCACCTTTACCTTCGCTCGAAGTCCTGCCACGTCCACGCAGAGGACCTGTTCAATCTAGTCTTGCTCGAGGGTCGGGCAATCCTCTACCCAGCCAATCGGTCGATGAGATGTTACAGGTCATGTATCGAGCAAAGGACAGGGTGGACGAGCTTCTGCAGATGAATGCAGGAGCAAAGTCTAAAGAGTATGAGCAGGCGAAGCGAGAGTATATAGAGAAGAGGGGACTTGTCAGGGCAGCGAAACATGCGTGGAACGCTGCGTTGGAGGAGAGACGCAAGGAAGATGCGCCCAGAAGGTTGCTGGGAAGTTTGGTCCAGCGCGCAGAAAGGAGCTCTGGCTTGTGGCTCGGTGGACCTCGATGGGCGCGTTGGAAACAGAACGAAATGTTATCATGACGCTTTGATCATCTCTGTCGATGCTTGAACGACGCTGCGAGACCTTCGCGCCCTTCCGAGCGTCTTTGCGAGGTCGTTGCTCTCCCTGATAGATCCGATCGCTCTTTGGGATGCAGCTTCCTTTGGACTCGAGCGCTGACGACGGCCTCACTCTCACAGACCCAGGGCCGGCGTAGTGCAGTAAGCATGCACGGGGCACTGCTTGGACTCGTGACTCACC